AGGAAGAAGCCCCGGAAGCAGACGAGACCGCCGAAGCAGTTCCGGAGGTCAGCGCAGTTGAAGAAGAAGCAGAAAAACAGGAAGCAGACGAGACCGTCGAAGTAGTTCCAGAGGAGGCCAACCCAGTTGAGGAAGACTCTAAGGCCACGGAACTCATCAGTGAACCAGCTATTGAGGCTTCACCACCCCTGGAAGATGGCCAAAAGGATGATACAAAGGAGGTTGAACTTGCAAACGCCTCACACGAAAACACCCCGGCGTCCGAAGAGACCAAAGAACCTGAGGCAGAAATTCCACCCATTGCCGATGCCCCAGAGGTCAACAACGATGGGCCAGAATCTTCAACTGAACAGGATAAAAAGGAGGAATCATCCGAGGACAAAGGCGACATTACCGAAGCGATCGATGGTGCGACTGCCGCTATTGTGGCCGGAGCAATCGTTGCTGAGGTTTTATCCCAGGACTCTCCTACCGGAGAGCCAGAAACTGTTACGGAAAAGGCGATTGTCGGCGAACCAGAGCAATTACCAGATGTCGAGGAGGAACCTGCTTCACCCGGCTCACCTGCCTCTCCGAAGTCCGAGAGGCGTAAGCACCGATCTTCAAGACATTCAAAGAGCTCCAGTCACCATAGCAGCAAAGACAAAGGAAAAGAAAGAGAAGCCACCCACGATGAGTCGCGTCGCTCAACCTCTCATCGTAAACGTCGTGACAGCGAAACCTCTGCCAAACCAGTAACAAAAGCACCTTCGACCCCCCCTCAGCCGCAAAAGCCCGTTCGTCATGACAGTGGCGTAAGCGCAGGAAGCACCAGCTCGCATTCCCATCGAAGACAGCGCACGCCTGAGGAGCAAGCAGCCCACGATAAACGCAAGGAGGAACGTCGAGCGAAAGCCCGAGCTGCAGAAATCGAACTCCAGAAGAATGAGAGTGCGGTGGCTGATGAACCGGCCATGGGCATCGTTGCTCCTTCGGCAGTCCCACGACACCTATCAACATCAACCAGGAGGTACAGCAGCACCAAGTCCAGCCACAGCTCCACCCACAGCAGAGATGACGGCGAAAAGAAGCCAAAGTTGATGGACTTAAAGGGCGTCAGTGTGGTAAAATCACCCTTTATAGTAAATGACAAACCGCACATCAAAGAGACGAAAGAAAAGGTAAAAGCAACGGCTTCCGAGCGCATTCGTAGATCGATAGATGGCGGAAGACCCAGACGTGACGAGTCTAAGGATAAGAAGCCAACACTCATTGATCGCATCCGTCAATCTATCGATGGCGAGCGGCCCAAACTTGATGAGTTGAAGGACCAGCGCAAGTCATCTCCTGGAGAACGACCAAAGATGGACCAGAAATCCCACCGCCACTCCCATCGCTCTTCCCACTCGACCCGTAACGATTCGGACAGGAAGGATCGAGATGAGAAAGAGAGATCGGAGCGCGAGGCTCGTCGCGCCCGCAGAGAGGCCGAAAAGAAAGTGGAGCTTGCGAGGCAAGAGGTTGCTGAGGAGACTCGGAAGAACAAGGAGAAAGATGACGAGGAACGACGGATTAGGCACGAGGAGAGGCGCAAGAGGAAGGCCGAGGAGGAAAAGCACCGAGATTTCGATCCCAAACGGCGTGATGAGGAGAGGTCCCAGCCATCTGGAAGCAGCGATCGGAGGGAGAGGGTGCATCGACACCGAGCAAACGAGAAGAAAGAGCCGCCGAAAGGAGGATTGAAGAGCCTCTGGTCTTCAGCAAAAAAGGCCTTTGCATGATGGAATACGTTTTTGATTTGGACGTCTACAACAGACATTTCGATTCTTGATGATGTTACGAGATACGATTGGTGACTTTGCGAAGGATGAATGATTTTTTGACGATGTTACGAAATATTTTCTTTGGTTTGTCAATTTTGGGATGGGAAAGTGTACACGGAATGGAGGATACGATACGATACGATACTATTTATCTGGCCACGCATGAGTGTGTTGTATTTCTGTCTTTTCTTTAGAACTCTTTAATGACTGAAACGTTGTCGTTCATACATATAAGCATATTCTTGGCATATACTTGAATTGAGATAATGATTCATGACGACCTCTAAACCGTCTGGACTTGACGTTACATTATCTCTATTTGTATATTTGACAAACTCTGCAAATTGATGTAACACTCTCGGGACTATGTTAATGCAGGGTGTAAAGTGATGGAAGAGGTTCTCCAAAACAAAGTGCTAATTGATACTATAAAAGCACTGCCACTTGGCAAATGGGTATTGTATAGAGCCGCTGACAAGCCAGGAGAGCATCATTTGGAAGAAGAGCAACTCTACCTGCGCCTTCATGAGCGTATTTAGCTTGGTAAAGTTTATTATGGTGGCCAGAGGCCAGGAGGTTTTGACCCGAGATGGCAAAGTGTAAGAGGAGTTTTACGACCAATGGTTTGGTTATAGGTTGTTAATACTTATCCAAGACCTCGGGGATCGCGTTGATCAGGGTGCAGAGTGTCAATGCCTGACATCAGAAACATAGACCTCTATCTACCTCGTCTTACTGTTACGAGACGTGTTTAGTGGACTTACAGGAAACTGCGGTGCTAAAAGCAAGTACTTTCTCACCGTTGGATCGCTGAGGTGGAAATTAGGAGAGTGCTGGTTGCAAGGAAGATAAACTCTCTCGAGCTGCGACTGCTCTAAGCTAGGGACTGTCTCATGCACGCATTGTGAGACGTGGACTCACGCAGCGAACTGGGAGAGTTTTAAGCACTACTCAAACACTTTCACGCATAAAATTCCGACTAGATCAATGGTGCACCAGGCGACCGAATATACCCCCTAAAAGGCCGTTTGTAGAAGAAATGCAAAGCTCGCCGGTTTCGAGGTTCATATCTTTAAAGAATACAGAAGAAACAGGTTATACATAAGCTTGGCAACCGAAACTATGATACATAAATGCTTTTGGGTTTGGAGATCTAATGCACGTTGCATTACCTCGTTTCTACCACCGAATCTCTTGGATATATCCCGTCACTCTAGAAGAAAGGTGGCAGCCAGAAGGGATAACCACCATTCTTCATCCTGAAGACACTAAGCAAGAAGCTGTACATGACGAAGATGACGCCGCTCCAAACTATCACAGCAACCTGCTGAGTCTTGGGATCGGTAATGCGTGGGACCTTGAGCGCCAGTGAAATGGTGGCGAATGAGAGGAGGCCATCTGAGAAAATATTAGCAGACATACATATCATATGTGCTTATGCGATAAATTTCAGATTCAGACTATCAACCCCGAGGGACGATCTGGTTGATTGATCCATAATTGGGGAACAAAGGATGAGGGTGGGGGTTGAAAGTTACGAGGTAGGAGATCAATCAGCACTTACATATAGCCGCTAGAATTTGAGTTTCGAGGCCATTCTGTAAGAGTAAGTCAGTATACTTAACCAGTAATCAAGTATAGATAAAAAAACGTGTCGTCACGAGCGGAAAATGCTGCACAAGGTAATAGCACGTAGAAACATACCTGATTGGAGAAGCCTCCTGCAAAATAACTCACGCCTCCTCTGCCATCACCAGTAACATATGGAACTTTTCTGATATGGTTGAACATGTGTCCAGTGGTAAAAAGTAATATGGCAATCAAGCTGATTGCCGCCCAAACGTTCCGGTTTTGTATGATTGGCACCATATATGGCCAAGCGACACTCAGGAAGGTTATTGTTGCTAATATGGTGGTGGTGATAGCAATACCACGCACCCAATTGATAGGTCGATTGACTTGGGGATGTGGTCGATCAGGAAGGTAACGGGCGATCCAGGAATGGACTTGTTCTGCGGATTGAGGCCTATTTTATAGTCAGCTTGAATTTCAACTTTCAGTTGTTCTCGAATAGAGGCATACCCGCTAGTAAAATCATATCTTATTGGGCCATTGTCGGGAATAGCGTGAGGGCCAACAGTTGGCTGGAAGAATAGAAGGACTGGGGCAGTCTGGAGACCAAGCTGGAGGAAGGAGTATTAGCAATAGGAAGTAAGGTTTTGCGAGAGTACTGACAGATTGAAAGGTGTTTTTGCCATCCACAAAGTCTAAGGTTCCAAAGACGAGCCGGGAGTCACCCTTCTTGTCCCCTTTGGTCCAGCTACTGGACAAGAGATCCCATTCCGGTTGAAATTCGCGGCAGAGAGCACATCCAAAACGAGCTTCCATAGCTGTCAGCAACACAACTACAGAGTAGTTTCTAGGGGCAGCTGTCAATTTCGCATAGACCGAATCGTCGAGTTTCAGTGGGGTGGATGCAAGAGCTTTCGTATGGAACTGGCTGAATTTGTCTACAACCGGCTTTTTGGCTGCGAGGGCAGCTGCCGGCAGCAGAGACAGAAGGAGGCCTTTCAGGAAATGCATCTTGAAAAGTGCCGTCGAATTGTGGATTGATGAACGACGGAAGTTGGAGAAGAGAAGAGTAGAGAAAGAAGTACCGCAGTACTGTCGTATGGAGCTTTCGATAAGGTGTCCTCTGGGCGCGGCTGCGGCTGTTTCGTAAATGGTCCGTGCTCTCCACAGTACGTACCCGTAACCGTACGTTAACCTAGTCCACTTCGGGTACTCTATTTACTCTACTGTTTTGACGCGTTTTCAAAAACCACGCTCCGTTCTATCCTTCCTCGCACCCCACCACCACATAATCCACCATTATGGATTCATCAGTATCTTATAATGTTGGCGAGCACACCGAGAGCGTGAGTAGCTCTACTTGGAAAGCCGACCCCCAACCCCCTCACTGACAATATTGCAGTATTTGTCTAAGTCACAGAGTCTCGAAGTGGCATATCAAGAAGCATTACGCAACACGGAAAGCATTGTTAAAGATGAGGCTGCGCGGCGACTGAGGCTCCGAATCTTGATGCTGGAGAACGAGAATGATGATCTGCATGAGCAGCTTGCGCTGGGGGATGATCGTATTGATGTCTTGGAGCAGGAAGGCGACGAGCTGCGGGAACAACTGGAGCGCGCCCATGACGAAATACAGCGCCACGAGGCAGATGCGAGAGTTCAGACACGTGAACTGAATAACCTACGGGTGTGTCCCACTTCTTTGATTGCATACGCCCATCTAATTGTCTGTAGGCCGCGTTGACTTCCATGAACGGCGTCACAATGGATACTACGAAGTTATTGACCGAAAAACTATCACTTGCGCGGGAGCTTGCCACGCTGAAGCCGGAACTCGAGCACCTGCGTTCTCAAGCGTCGTATCAGCAGATAACTCTGTCCGAAAAGTTGGCATTGCAGCGTCAAGTTAGTACATTGGAGGTGGAAATTGAAACCGAGAAACGCGCTTCGAAGCGAGCTGCGGAGAAGAATGACAGGAGGGAGAGAGAAGCAGACCTCCGAAGTCAATTGGAAGTATTGCAGAATGATCTGGTGCGAGAAAAGAACAACAGGACGGCGAAAGAAGTAGAGCTCCAGAGCCAATTGGAATCCCTACAGAAAGACCTGGCGCGAGAGAAGAAAGAGGGCGGGAAGACTCACAAAGAGGTCGAGAAGGAATTGAAAGCGTCAGAGACTCGGCATACAGTGCTCGAAAGCAAGCTGGACCAGATGCGGACAAAGTTACGAGCTACGAAGGAAGAGCTGAAAGAATGTCAGACCGAGCTCACTCAGGCTCGCGCAGCCCCGGCGAAGACATTGAGTACATCGGCCAGTGCGGATGCTTCAACTAGACCACGCAAAAGAGCGGCTTTGGAGATGAGTACCGATGTAAATATTGGTACGCCAGATGGAGTTGCAGCTAGGGGAAAGAAGCCGGCCGTCAAGAGGGGTAGAAAGGATCAGACCATGGTGGGAGAGAAGTCGATGTTTTCGATCACCCCTTTCTTAAATCGTACAATGAACATGGCTCTCGACACGCCCGCCAAGGATCCGGAAGCTGATAGCGTGGAAGAGGAAGACCAGGATACCGACAATCAAAGATCTGAAGCGGAGGTAGCATCAGAAGCTCCCGAAATTCCCGAGACATCGACGCCGACTGCTGCTCCTAAGGCTAAAGGTAAGAAGAAGGTCGTAGATAAGCCTGAGGTACTTCACAAAAAGGCTCTCGGCGATACAAAGAGCAATACCCAAAATAAGAAACCTGCACCGAAAAAACGGACAATTAGCACACTAGAGAAGGTCACCGAGGAAGATGTCGATGAGAATGAGGAACCACGCCAACCCGCTGCTGCGGTTACTACCTCCAAGAGCGTGGCTGCACCAATGGCAGGAACTATGAAGCCAGAAAAATTGCAATCAAAGGCAGCCGAGACTGAGGATACAGTTCTGAGGAAGAAAAAGAGAAAGTTGCTAGGAGGAAAGACCCTGTTCGATGAAGAAGATGGTGAGGCTACAAAGCGACCCACAAAGGCTTCTCTTGGAGCTCCCAGGTTACTCGCAAAGGGTGGTCTTGCTGGTCCGGGCGGTGGTCTTAGGGGAGGACTCGGAGCTGGGATGGGAACATTTTCGCCACTGAAAAAAGATCGGAGGGGTGTAGGAGCTAGCTTTCTTGCCTGATGCTTGGACGGTCCTCGAGTGACATACGATCAGGATATTAGAACGAGGCTGCTAAGCGGACATTGGAGGCGTTGGCTGCATGTATTGGAAATGTGGAGTTATTGGATGGTTTGGAGTTCATGGAGTACTTGGATTAGGTATGAAGCAAGGATCCATTCAGATAACGGATATCTTGCAGGTACTTTTGCAAATGATTAACACCATTTCTTGAATTCGTCTCTCAAGAACAGAATGCCGTGTGTGCTAATCTATCAACCAACTGCTAAAGGCGATCTCTTGAGCCTCCTATTGCCCCTTGTCTTTGAATGAATATATTTGCTTGCGTATCCTCGGTCTGTGCTCTGCTCTGGTCTATGTAAGTTGATCTTCTCTTTCATCAAATTCTTGTTCTTCCCTTTGGTTCTCATCTTAATGCTCCTCCTTTGTGGGATATTGATGCCGCAGAAGTAGCACCAAGCCAGGCTGTATTGAAATCCGGATACCCCATTATCCAGGTTAGTCTTTGAGAGGTTGAAAGTGCGATGCTATTTCCTCCTCCACATCCTTCTTTCACTCCTCCAACGACCAAGACCCCTCCGTTAGCTCTGTAAGATCATCAGTCCACATGAAAGTTCTCCCCGACACTTGTTTCCCTTCAATTGTAACCCGTATGCCTTCAGCACTATACGTCAGGCTCGTAGTGCTGGAACATCTTCTGTTGCTCTTCGGTCTCCACCACGTAAGCCATGCCGTCAACGTAATTATCATGTGGTCCGTCTACCAAAGCAGGATATTGCCCCCAAAGCATAATTTTGTAGGTCCTTACTCTGGCTGGTGTAAGAACTGGGGGTGCTTGGAGCCGAGGAACTTCTTAGAGTTGTAGTGAATCTGTAAGAGAGCTGTAAGAGAGCCGTAGAAGAAGAGTGGCTTTGGTATGTATGCGTATTGATCGCGTGATGGTCTGACATTGGGCTGGAAATTCTGGAGCTTCTCAAGCATGATGTTGTTGCGCTTGGCTTTCTTGTGAGAGTGAGGTTTCCCGGTAGGTAAAGAATGTCCTGGATGTTTCTCTTCACCGTTGACATTGTTTGGGGTAGATGAAGATTCCTTGAAGTTGTTCATTGCGGCGTGAAAAAAGGTAGTAGTTGTGAGTTGAATGTATAGAGTCCATGGTTCTGATATTAGGTACTCAGAATGCCTAGCTTTGAAGTAAAAAACGGACTGAGAGTAGTTCAATATATGATTCACAGGGACATGTTTTATTAGAGATTACTATAAGCTTATTGAGAGCCCCAGAACTATAAATTCCAAAAGATAAACTGTGCGCCAAGATGATTTTGATATTACCGGTGGTACCTATACCTGTAATATACTGTGCTGCAGTGATGTTCTTCCCGCCTTCTTGGCCCAAGCTTCTGGTGCTTGCAGCCTTGCATATTTAATTTTGACAATGGGAGACCAACGACGTATCCAACACAATTGCAATTAGTAGCTGAATGCTTTCGCGAAACGTCTTGCGGGCATTCTGCAGAAGACAGACCATTCGGTCTCACCTGCTGCCGCCATGCACTGCGAATAACCTCGGTAGCATCCGGAACCCTGCCCATATTTGTTACTCTCAAGCCTTCCTTTTTTCCAGTCCGCGGTGGTCTTCCTCGTCGACGAGATGGAAGAACAGGCAGGGCAGAGACTCGTTTGCGCGGGAAGCAAGAGTTCAAGGGCTGAAAAGCAGGGCGGCTTTCAAGCTTCTCGAAGTAAACAGCCTTGCTGCTCTTGAGTGTGTTGTTGCTGATCAACCGGTGACAGATCGATGCCAAGTACAGATTGTTCAAGAAGGGCCAGACGGTTGTTGATCTCGTATGCATACATGCTCTGTGGATTTGGACAGCAAGCTGATCAATTCAAAGGGATACGCGCCAGGAAGCTGGTCTCAGGTCTTGTTCTCTTCTCAATCTGCGTTGAATACTCGCTCACAACTCATTGTAGGTCGCAGTAGAACGCACGAAACCCAATGGTAGAATCGTCGGCATCGATATCATTCCCGCGCAACCTCCGAAGGGCGTATCTACAATACAAGGCAATTTCCTCTCCGCCGAAGTACGGGAAGAGGTGAAGCGCTTCCTTTCAGATCCAGACCGTGGACGAGCTAGACCGCAACTCTATGCTTCACTGGATGGAGAAACCCCAAACGCCATCATTGAGCCGGAACGAAGCTACATTGATCTTGAGCGACACGCGGGCGAAGAGACTAGTTCGGCGAATGGAGAAAGGAGGCCAGAAGATGGCGGGGGGATGGTTGATATTGTTTTGAGTGATATGTCCGCACCCTGGGAGCAGACTACCGGTTTTTGGAAGAGAAGTCTAAGTGACCCGTATTTTAGGATGATGAATACGAGCGGCATCAACTTCAAAGATCACGCTGGAAGCATGGTACGATCCTTTTCAAGTTGTTTAAAGCTCTACAGACCTAACATTGTGCTAGGATCTCTGCGCGGCGGCATTGACGTTTGCTTTTGATACCCTACGAGTTGGAGGCCATTTTGTTGCTAAATTCTATGATGGAGCTGAAAGCAAAGAGTTGGAAATGCAGTTGAGGAAGCTCTTCGGGGCTGTACACAGAGAGAAACCCGAATCGTCTAGAAGTGTAAGTTTTGATTTTGAATTTTTGGAAGTTTAGCTAATCGCTTGTAGGAATCGAAAGAAGCATATTTCGTGGCACTGAGAAGGAAGAAAGATGTAACAATAGAAGAAGTTACCAACCCAAATAAAATGTAAACCACACAATTTATCTTTGGGTTTTGCACCATTGAGAATTCCGGAAAATATACGAATGCAACTTCCAGACGAATGCCCAATAAGTAGCGTTTACAAAGCTACTTTGTCCCACTCCGGATGGGTGATCCCTTTACTTTCGCTCATACCGTGCGGAGATAGTTATCATTGTCTCTTAGAATATGTAGGAAATCCTTGCCCACGTGAAAATTGTATCCGAGGCCCCTGGTCGCTCTGCTATCCTGGGACAGCGTTAGTTTTCCATGCCAATAAGAAGTAGCACTTTGACAATATTAGATTTCGTACGGTATCAATAGGAGCCAGAGAGATATTTGTAGATGCCATCAATTGATTTTTGATTCGCTATGCTGGGTAAGCCACATTCACGCCTCGCCCATGCCCCCCAGAAAGGCCATATCAGAAGCCCAAGGCTTTTCTCCAGTACACCCAAGCCCCATGATAATGGCCACGCAGGAAACCTGATATCTGCGCCATCACGTTGCCCATCGGAATCAATTTACACCTTGAAACCTCTGGAACGCCTACGTCCACGAGCCTTCTCGAACTTGCGACCCTTGGACTCAACATATGGTTTCTAGTAGTTGAATTGTCAGCGCAGCCGAACCCGTGAGAGGGCATGATAATTACCTTGTGCTTGTGGGGTCCGAAGCCGAAGTGCTTAACAGCCTCTCTGGAGTTCTTTGGTCCTCTGAGGAGCAGGGTGTTGCTTCCAGTAGGAGCTCTAAGAGCCAATTGATCCAGAGTCAAAACCTCTCCTCCAGCCGCGATGATGCGGGCACGAGCCGTAGCCGTGAAGCGAAGAGCGGCAACGCTGAGCTTGGGGACGGTCAAGAGACGGTTGTCATCGGTGATGGTGCCGATAACGACAATGGTCTTGTTGTTGGACTTCTCGGAGGTGTTCGCAACAATCCTGGAGATGGAGACCGGGGGTCTGTTGATGCGGGACATAAAAAGGCGACGGAGAACGACCTTGTTGAAGGAGGAGTCGGTTCGGCCTACGATGAGAGCATGATCAGTATTGTCCCATTCTCTGCACGCCTCGTTCAAGGTTCGGGGAGTTACTTACGGGCCAAGAAGCGATACAGCTTCACGAGTAACTTGAGATAGACATTGTCACTCTTTGGCGCCTTTCGGTGCGTGTTCCGAACGTGATGAGCGTCGAGATCGATACCTATAGTGAGAATCGCATCGTCAGCCTATGATCAAGCATGCTCTTTGCATTTCGGTCTTGCGACACGAATATGCTGCGCAGGGCCAAGATCTCGAAAAAAGCCTGTCCCCCAGCCGGATGCATGGAGAGAGACAATTGTCGAGATCAGGGCGTCCACTTGCACACGAAGGCGAGGATGAGCGACATACCCATGGTTGCTGGTTGGCGTTTGTCGACGGTGTGGTGTTGTTCAAACTCGATATTTTCCCAGCGAGAAATATGTTTGTATCGTGGTGGGAACGCTAACATGAAATTAAGCGAGTAATTCGAGGCTCAGCCAGCGCCACCCACCCCGCCCCGCTCCGCTCCTCTCTCATAAGTACCTATGTACCATATTGTCAATGAAAAGCATTGATTGTCAGGCCTGACCTTATATTCCAATCTAAGTTTCTTGCTCTGGAAGCGTTGACTCTTGGCACCAGATGTTTTCATTGCCTAGAATTTCTACTACTTTATATAACATATTGGTAAGATCTCGCCTCTCTAGCTTTGTACAGTACATGCGTAGTATGGAGAGGTATTGATCGGTGGAAAGGGTGGTTGATGCGTATGAGGAGGATAACTTTCCTTTCAATTTGTGTTTCTGAGAGTGCGAGTGGTAGGTGTAGGAAAGGATGTAACCTGTCCTGTACTATATACATCAGGATATCAGACAAGGTAGGTAGTCATGAATGTAATAACTTTCTTTCATACGATCCAAATAATACATGCTCTACTCCGGCTTGTGACTGGGTTCACGTGGATGAGGTGCTGCAGGAGGGCGGGAGGGTTTTACTATTAGATTAATATACTTGCAGGCATAGGGGAACGTTCTCCATGGAATTTCTAGAGAATGCGCCGAACTTGAGATGCATACCTAGTAAGTTTCCCCATTTCGCGAAGTAAGTACCTTGATACCAGCAATGCACAGGGAATATATCGGGATATCGGAATAATTAGATCTCGCCAAGGCCAGGCCAGCCTCGAGATACCGGTACTAACATAAGACCCCCAAAAAACATTGTCAACGTCAACCTCCCACGGACCTACTGCCATCCTACGGACTACCTATCGACCGTCCCCGCAGAAGACCTTACTGTCGTTTCTATTGAATGGACCATAAATTGATCCCCCCCCGAATCAGTTCGCTACCCCCTCTAGCTCTTCGTTTCCAAGGGGACTAGCTCCCAACGGTTGCGACCACGAGCGTAATCGCCGTCTTGTCATACCCACTGGAGCTGTATACACCAAAGGTCGATGGGAGTGCCTGATTGAACCGGTGCAAATCGTCTGCTACTGCTGGAGGTGCTTTTCATCTCGCCTCATGCGCTTGAGGTCTGGATACGCGTTTAGCAGCCAGCCCCGAGATTAGAGAGCTTGTGAATACTCGGAAATGTCTGCTGTAAGTAGCTCCTGCGCCAGCTTTGGACGAGAATTGACAACGTGGGCAAAACCAGTCCGGGCCAGATGTCCTCAAGCCGAAGTATGGCCCTAAAGTATTACAACTCCGCGAGATGGTCGCACAGCCAGTTTTTGCAGCCTTTTGCGCCGGGGGAGTAGCTGGTGCTGTCTCCCGAACAGTCGTTTCACCCTTGGAAAGATTGAAGATTCTCTTCCAGATACAAAGTGTTGGTCGGGAGGAATATAAGCTCTCGGTTGGAAAAGGACTCAAGAAAATGTGGCAGGACGAAGGATGGAGAGGGTTCATGAGAGGAAATGGCACAAATTGCGTGAGAATTGTTCCCTATTCCGCAGTACAATTCGGAAGCTATAACTTCTACAAGAAAGTGAGTTCTTGATCTAATATGTTCCTGCAACTATAGCTACAGCTACAGCTACAGCTACAATTGCCCACACCCAACTAAGGCTAACGTATCATTGCAGTTTTTTGAATCATCCCCTGGATCAGACTTAAATTCGTTAAAACGTTTAGTCTGCGGTGGAGCTGCCGGCATAACCTCTGTTTTCTGTACATATCCTCTTGACATTGTTCGAACCCGTCTCTCCATTCAATCCGCATCATTTGCGGCGCTCGGCCCGGAACACACAGCGAAGCTACCCGGAATGTGGGAAACACTGATCACAATGTATAAGACTGAGGGTGGTATACGTGCATTGTATAGAGGCATTATTCCAACGGTTGCGGGAGTAGCACCATATGTAAGCCGGAAATTTGTGCTACTGGAGAATTGTACTGATTAGTCGCATAGGTTGGCTTGAATTTCATGACTTATGAACTTGCTCGAGGGTACCTAACTCCTGAAGGGGACAAAAACCCCAACGCTTTACGCAAACTCGCAGCCGGTGCAATATCAGGGGCCGTTGCTCAAACTTTCACATATCCCTTGTAAGTATTTGACTGTTCCGGTCAGTGGGGCAGCCTTGTTAACTCTGGCAGTGATGTTCTTCGTCGCCGCTTTCAAATTAATACGATGTCGGGAATGGGTTACCAATACAAGTCGATCTTCGACGCTGTTAGGATCATAGTTGCGCAAGAGGGAATCAAAGGCATGTACAAGGGCATTGTACCGAATCTCCTGAAAGTTGCGCCCAGCATGGCTAGTAACTGGCTTAGCTTTGAGATGACTCGAGATTTCTTGCTCACTCTGAGGTCTGACGCCGAGGATTTGTGAGGGTAGGGGGAGGTCCAATCTCCAATCTCCAATATACCCTGCGAAATATGGCTATGAAGTTGGAGTCACGGTTGCAATAGGCTGGCAATCAAGCAGAGAGCTTTGTATATGAAGGCGTACATCACCACCGGTTGCATTTGGATGGGCATTGGGAGCGGGCGCATAATGAGGCTTGTAGAAAGACAGTTGTAGATTCTTCTCGCGATGCATGTTGACAAGTAAAAGGGGGTAGGTAGATTACGAGAGATGGGGTGGAAATTGTGGCAAATACAGTAGATACTGGTCGAATCAATTTGTATTATTGCATATAAAAAAAATCAGGCAACCATTCAAGACTTAGAGCTGCAAGGGAATACCCAGTTAGCTATACGCTATGCCTACCCTTAGATGAATCCTGAACTACCTACCTACCTACTCAAGTAGGTAAAAGTGCCAGAAGCAACTCACCGGAGGTAAAGCGCCAAGGTATCCGTTGCCTACCTAGGTATGTAAGATTACGTTCAGTCACATCACGTGTGACGTACCTATCCTATGTCCTCTCCTCCTAGCTAATTTAGCGCGCATCTGTACGGAGTAAACCTGGGGAGCTTTGAACATCCACCCGGCCAGTAACAACATCAACATCCAAACACTTATCGCAATCTAGTCTTCAGTTGCCATTTGGAGTGAAGACAGCTACGATACTCGTCTCCACTACTTTAGCATCAGCAAAGACTGGCATTGATACATCCACAATATGTCTCGCGGAGGAACAACTCTTTATGTGACTGTAAGTTCACCCGGACAAGCTCCATTACCATTACCAAAACCATATATCCATCCCCATCAGTCCCCCATCAAAAAAACTCAGCTGATCCATCCCACGCAGGGTTTTGGACCCGGCACACGCGCTCGCGACCTAGCCTACGAATTCGAACGGTATGTCAGCCAAACGTCGATATCTCGATGATCGTCCTCGAGTGCGATGGCGATGACCCATCCACCCAACCCCAACTCCTCGTTCCTCGTCCTACCTCGTCGAGACTTCGCTGTCAACGTTACTCGTCTCCTACCTGCCTGCGCTTCCTACGTCCCATTCACTTCCTCGTCGATCGAGCGGTCGCACAATGATACGAACATTGTCATGACATTTTTCGCATGCGAGAAGTTCGAACTGCGGCGGATCGAGCTTTCTAAAATGCTGTTTATCTTTTGCTCTTTCAATCCCTCTATGCCCTCAAATCGAGTACCATGAGTCTAACAATGGGATTTACAGCTATGGTCGCCTTGTTCGTTGTGACATTCCAGCCCCTCGAACTGCTGCCAGTCGTCTGTGAGTGGGGATCTATCCGCTTTACAGTCAACTCTAATATCGTTGACACTTGAAGTAGGTTTGCATTCGTTGAGTATGAAAGCCGTCGGGATGCCGACGATGCTTACCATGAAATGCACAACAAGCGCATTGGTCACGATGATTTGCTGAAAATTGAGGTAAGCTTAGGGAAACTTCTACCCACCCGTCATGTTCTCTACTAACTGAAGTTAGTGGGCGCGAACTCCACCATCTGCCTCATGGCGTTTCGACTCTGGCCGCGAACGCGAACGTGCCCCACCTGGACGTCGTTCTCCTCGCCGTGGTGGACGCTCCCCGTCTCCTCGACGTGGCGGCCGAGCCGGCGACTACTCCCCACGCAAGGATAGCCGTCGTGACCGTGATCGCGACTACGACCGTCGAGACCGTGGTGGTGACCGTGATCGCTCTCGTAGTCCAGATGACAGGTATGAGGCCATTGAAGTCCTACGTCTAGTTGTGTTCTAATAGTCCTTCAGAGAACGTGATGTTAAGGAAGAGCGCGACGAAGTTCGTGAGAATGGTACCAATGGCGAAGACAGGAAAGGTGAACTCCAGGGTCTTCCCTATCGCGACGAGACTAAACTCACTGATACCTCTATGGCAGTTGCCATCGAATCTCCTCCCCCTACACATGGTATGTACCCTATGTAAGTTATCTTGGCAAAGAAGCTAATGAGACAAAGATGACTTGGATGTCGCTGCCGAGTAGGGATAACATTTGCGGCGTACACAGGGCGGGAAAATTCAACTTGTCACGGGCTGCTAATATCCTTCTCTATTTGATTGTACTTTTGAGTTTTCTAGATTCGGTTCCATTTCGATGCGGTCGAACGAGCACCTCAGTTGCATCCATCACGATACTTAATATCCGAATCGGCGGTCATAACATTAGCTAAATCAAAATTGAAACCATTTTCTTGCCTTGCCGATAGATAAATTTACCTCACGTCTAGTCAACGGCCATATGTGTTCCAGGAGTCAACAAGAGGCCCCTAGCCTCAAATGCCAGTTCAACACCAGCATTCGATACTACGGAAATACTATCGAGGAAATCTAATGTTTCATGTTACATACGTGGGCGAGGAAACGGATAGAAAGGACGGTCGTTGTTAGAGCTCAGAAGTGTTGATGGACACTTATTAGATTATGCCTCCCGAGTTCTCGTGATTTAATAGAAAGTTACTGTGCAGCTTTTAAATTGTTCATCGTAAGACATTATGCTGTTTATGCCAAAAGAATCAGAAGAACTTTATTCCCATACCATGCCCATTCCATCACGTCCCATGATTTCGCGTTTCCCCCACATGACATCAGCGGCCGCATCTTCAACCTCACATGGAAGACGGCAATGAAAGTGCCCTGGTTAAAGTTGCTACGCCATGAGCAATCCGCATTAATCCCTTTTTCGTTGGGGAGTTTATGCCGTCCTGTCCTTTTCAACCTTGCTCTTTTAACTAAGAACTATCACGTTGGCGAATTATCTCAAGAACCTGGTCGAGCGTGCCAAGAGCGTGCCGAAGTATCTTCCTGTTCTCAAATCTATCTCCCACTTGGATTGGGCAAAGAAAAAGGGCGTGGCTGGTAAGTCTCTTCTAGGAGTATACTTTTTTCTTATACCGAAACTGCAGGACTCTTTCTGATGTCTCAAGACTTCTGAGACAAACAAGAAATTACCCCCCGCCCCAAGTTCTTCTCGATCAAGCATCACTAACACAGAACCTGCAGGTCGATTTGACCGCCAGGCCGAGATGGATCCCACACCCGAGAACAAAGTCGGAGGAGGAAAGGCAGAGAAATCATACCTGACGACTGCTGTGGAATCTATTACCTGGAGTTCCTCACGATCGACAACGCCAAAACCTACGCTTACCTCTGCCGCTGGCCCAGCCGAAGCTTCTGGTCTTAGAAACCAACATGGGGGTGATCATACTGCACACCACTGGGGGCTGAGCCTCAAGGAATACCCCTACGATTGTCCTGCTCCAAGTGTGAGATGGTTTTATGCAGTTGATGTATGTTCAAAGCTACGTTGCCTGGGCGTCAGACTCAACCTCTGATTATCATTATAATAGGTTCCAAAGAGAAAACCAAAGCTTCTCAGTAATAGCAGGCTTGAAGAAAAACCAGCTGCTGCCCCCAAAAAGTTCGTCACATTCTCTGCTCACGATTCTCGAGCCATAGAGACCGCATATCAGAAGCTCGTAGAGGAACACCATGACGGGCGCAATGAGGACCGATCAAATGGCAAAAGGCATAGCAGGATACCGAGCACAAATTTAGATGCACCAGAACGGGAGGATAAAGCTGGTCTAAAAATCCCAGTCCACGAGGATTTTCTTTTTGACGTTGATATTCAAAATCGAGAGCTTGCTCCTGCTTATTGGCTTGGGCCAATTTTTGAAGTCAAAAGAGGATCTTGGTTCTATGAAGAAGGAGGCAAAAGCTTGAGACCTTGTGACGAGAATCTCGCTTTCCAGTTAGAGGAAGGGTATTTAAAGGCGAAACCATTTCGATATCCCCAGGCGGCAGAAAAGCCCTCATCAAGACCATCGTCCTTGAAGCCTGGTGATGATCCAAGATCTCTGGCAAATTTGGGAGCATTTGGCCGAAATCGCTCTGAGTCTTCCGGTCAGGTCACGCCAAAGTCGTCCGCAGAGAATCTTAAACAACCAGCTCGAGACGACAAGTTGAATAGTCCCAAAGACTCTCCTTCCCATCAGCCTCAAACACATCGACTCTTTGGCACCTATATGAACTCAGTTGTGACATATCAAGATTCGACTGTTGCGGTAAGAGCCTTCTCATTACCCATTCTCTCATCTCATACTTGTTGTCTATTCCACCATTTTTATTGTCATCCAAGGCTTCCTACTATTCGTGGAATGCTGACAGTGTTCTAGTGGCTTTCCACAGACAATTTAATGTCAAGAGTTAGCAGCACTGTCTATCAAAGATTTGCTGGTGGAGGCTATCTAAGCGGAATCAAGCTTGTCAGGGGATACTCAGAGCCAGGCAAAGGCAAAGACAAAGACCCTGCTACAGGTGTAAAAGGCCCATCAACTCCTACTAGTGCAGCGGCAGATCCGTCGACTATACCTCCGGGCTTGCAGCTCGACGAACGGCAGCAAAAGTTGTTAAAACGGAGATCTGCCCCTCCACTAAGTACCGCTCACCCTGAAGATCCACAAAGTCGAGCGGTGCGCGAGTCTGCCGAAGCCACTGCATCAATATTACAAAATGGGATAGACCCTGAGACGGAGGCTGAAGCGGTCAGAAAGCGAGATGAAGCTGAGATACAGAATGACTATAATGACTCCAATGGGGAGGATCAGGGTCGTGAAATTGAACATCTCATTCTTGTTACCCATGGCATTGGTCAGCGACTGGGGATGCGGTGTGTATCCAGCTTACATGGCTCGTAATGTCCAAAATCACTAACCAACTTGCTAGTACGGAAAGTGTCAATTTTATACACGACGTTAATGTTTTACGAAAAACCCTGAAAAGCGTTTATGGAGGCTCCGCCGACCTCCAGGCTCTCAATTCGGAGATCGATAAGCTACCTAAAAATTGTCGACTTCAGGGTAAGTCAGCAGGCGTGAAAATGTTCTCTTTCGTTAAATTTTACTTTCTCCTTGAAGGATTTTATCCTACACATGCGTCGATTTCTCTGGGCTATTTGCATCCCCCAATATTTTACAATACTTGAGACTTCCCAAGGAATTGTTACTGATAATAGATGCTGCATAGTACTTCCCGTCTGCTGGCGCCACCTTCTGGACTTCCCAAAGAAACGACAGAATCGAAAGGAACATGACCTTGGCACCACTCAAAACTCCGAGGAAGATTATCCTAGTCTAGAAGATATTACAATCGAAGGAGGTTTGTAGACCCAACTGCTATGCTACCCCTTGCGATATTTTGCCTTGTGTATCCTTCTTCCGGCCATCACTAACACAATTCCTAGTTGCTTTTGTGCGTGGTTTAATTAGCGATCTTGTAAGTGGTCGATTTTCATAAATAGAATATACTACACAGGAGGGTTTTTGAGAGGAGATATGCTTCTTCCTCCAAGCCTTTCTTGCTTTCTTCTTGGGCCACGCCTAGGTTAATCTTGATGTGTCCTTGGAGTTATAATACTAACCCCGGCTTCTTATTCTTTAGGCATTGGACATTCTCTTATATCAGAGCGACTATAGAAACCAAATTATCCAGATTGTTTTAGCAGTGTGTTCCCTTCCCTGTGTCCATTGCACAAGCCCTCACTGACGACCTGGCAGGAGGTTTGCCACCCCCAATGCAACGCCATTATATACAGTCCTTGTTCCTCGGTCATTCAAAAATAGCTTTGCAACTATAAAACCGGGTTTCTTCCAACAACAACCAAGTCTGCTAACTTTTAACTAGGTCAACCGCATATACAATTTGTTCCGAGAACGTAATCCCGAATTCAAAGGAAAAGTCAGCCTCATGTAAGTTCATTTAACTAGTAAATAGTTCTTTTTTTGACAATATATTGCAATCCAACAACAATCCTCACTACTAGATTACATTTCTAAACAACCTATTAACTTACTCGCTCATATAGGGGACACAGCCTCGGAAGCGCAATTCTATTTGATCTATTATGCAGGCAGGCCGAGTCTTCTGCTGGACATGGCTCAACTAAACGCCACAAACATTCCACACATCGGCCATCAAAAACTGCCAAGGCTAAGGGGAGAGAACTAGATTTTGATTTCGATGTTGAGGATTTCTACTGTTTAGGATCACCTATAGGTATGTGCATGGCCTAGATTTGTTCCGATGAGGTGATATAGCTAACGGGTAAAAGGCCTGTTCCAAATGTTGAAGGGAAGGAGTATCTTGGGAAGACACCAGTAAGCCCCAATTCTCAAAATATTATACCCGATGGCATAAAAAAAGCACAATACCTCAATTTGAACAAGTGTCTACGAAGGTCTTGATGCCGGTGGCTACAAAGGCTGTGAAGCTTTTACCGGAGCCTTATCGTGAGGGAAGCCATTCTCAACATAATGTTCTCTTCTTGCGGCACGCACCTTTCACAGGCGAATTCCATGTCAGAGTTGTATGAACTAACCATCTGCAGAGAAGATGCGGTCCCAGCAAAATCGCCTTTGGACTCTGACTACAGGCAGGATCCTTTTCTCGCCGCGTCCTCTAGCTCAAGCTTCACCGAAGAAAACATTTCAAGCATTACGGGCCTTCCTCTCACTATATCCTCCCCTAAAATCGGCCAGCTTTACAACATATTCCACCCTTCTGATCCAATTGCATACCGTCTAGAACCGCTTATTTCTCCTGCAATGTCCTCTATGAAGCCACAACTATTACCCTATACTAAGAGCTCTTTGGCTAGCTCAGTAAGTGGAATTGGAGCGAAGGTCGGCCAGAGCGTCAGTGGTCTTTGGTCTAGCTTGAGTTCTGGAATCGCAAGCAGTCTCTTGAACCGCAGTCTTGGCCTCACTAGCGACGATGTAGCCAAATTGGAAGCAGCGCCGACCCCTCAAACGCGGGCCTCTTCCCAATCTGTTGGGGCTGGAACGAACATCTCGGCTGGTGGAGTCCTTCAGTCAGATGCCCCATCTTTACAGAGACAACATACCAATGAGAAGAAGCTACAACTGGCCGAAGATACGGTAGCTGCGGATAGAGATGGAAGCAGTGCAAATGCTCCCACCTTGATTGATGACGAGATCGAGACACTTTTTGCCGGTTTTCAAAAGAGTAGGAAGAACACCCAAAATGATGAAGCGGGTGAGAATTGGTCAGAGGCCGAAGAGAGAGGCCGAAAGCTGCGAAGAGAGGAGCTGAAAGTTAGAGCTTTGAATCAGAATGGGAGAGTCGATTACAGTATCCAGGAGTAAGTCTACCCTCTGGGAGGAGCCAGCCATTGGTTAAGTTGCAGCTGCTCTCAGTCCCTTAATTGTCCACCAAAGTGGGACATTCTATTCCGTATAATATGCTAACCGTAAAACAGGAGCGTCTTAGATTTAAACCCATTAAAGTAAGCTATTTTCGCTCCCCCCCGCCCCAAACCTTCCTCTTAGCCCAGAAACTAACAAATCATAGCACTATCGCAAGCCACCTTAGCTATTGGGCAGATGAGGATGTCTCTCACTTTGTCATGTCTCAATTATTGAGTCGGTCACGCCAAAAGAATAGCCAGAAATAGACTGAGATAGAGTAGACTGCACGAATCATGGCGTTATGTGTAGGAATATTTGGAGTTTATGATTGCCATGCCAGGTGATGGCTCTGGAGACTGTTTGCAGCTACCGTTGAAGGAGAGCTTCGCACCTAGGTGTGTCGAACAGCGGGTTGATTGTCATAGCTCTAGTTATAGATGAGATTAGTGGGCAATGAAAATACCAGATTCGGCGTCAAACTCTTCTTTTAAGAATGAAACTACTCCCTAAACCATTTAAGAGGGATAAGAAGGTACTACTCGAGCGTTCCCTACCTGAAACCTCCCACCCCCAAGTTGTCATACATATCGACTGCGTATTCAATATTTACAATAAGATATCACGATATGCATGAAGGAAACAAGAGCCAGCTAAAAGAGAGGATATCCGTTTCCATTCCCATATGATACAGAAAGCCAGTTTTCTTCCAGAAAACACGCGGGGGGTATTGATTTTGTCGTTCATCCATGCTTTTCATCCCAATGCCTTCCAATATAATACACGTCCCATTGATTTATTACGCACCCAAAACACAAAGAAATTTAGATGATCAAGTAAAGACTACATAGCAGACTCGGCCCGGTAAATATGCCGATCCAGAAAATCAGGTTTCCCAACGTTGCTCTGCCTCTCAGGAATCTCGATCGCGATAACTGGACGAGAGGCAGCTGGCTCATCTGCAGAATCAAGAGATAGCCTCTGAGCTTCTTGAATAAGCACCACATGACAAGCTCGTGCACACAGGCCGAAAGGAAGAATGTGATGAGTGTTGCGGTGTTCTTGTTGACCTTCATGGAGGAGATGGAGGAGTGATAGACGTGGCGCAGGAGGAAGTTATGCACAGGTCGGTTCCAGTCGCGGGCGAATTGATCCCAGGAGACGGAGTTCCACCAATCGGAGTAGAATCCTCGGTCTGCGAAGTAGGTGACTTCGGCGAGGAGGTTGAGGATGCATTCCCAGATCACGTACCATGTCTTGTTCCATTAGCGAGATAAGCTAGGGGAGGATAATGAGTGAGGCTTACCATCATGTATTCCATCATAAATGGGAAGATTAAATCGCTGAGGATCCACGGAAATTCCTTTAAGCGTTCCTGGAGAGGCAAGCCGGCGTCCTTCATCTCGATTGTTCTGACTACTACCGGGTAGATGAAGGTTTGAGAGATGAGGTTCATGATGCCTAGTATTCCAAATACAGCGACTGCCTTCTCTGCCACGTAGTACCAGTTAATGCTGTCTGAGCGAGGGTATTCAAGCTCATAGACTAGTGTTGGAAGGACAATGTATTCGAAATGATTTGTAACAGTCAAGTTCGTCGGGTAGATGTTCCCACTGGTTGTGCATTTGCCTTTCAAATCCTCAGATAGAGCATCGATTTCCCACTTGATAATACGCTCAAAGGCAAGTATTTGGTCAATGTCGAGAGGTTCACCAGATTCGATGGCCGCGGCTACTTGATTAATGCTAGATTCGCCATTATCAATAGACTTGCTCCTGGAATGACGCCGCTGATTCATATCGTTGGCTGTAGGTTGATAGTCAAGGTAGGACGTTGTTAACGACGAAAAGCTTGGTGTGGTGGCCGATGGGGTCGCGACTGGGTCGACGGCATCAAGCTGTTTCAGTTTCCTTACGAGCGTTGCTCTCATTTTGTAACTTTCTGAAAGATGACCATTATCTGAGTTTAACGTTAGTACGGTCGGAGCAAGTTCAAGAGCTTCGTCATCTTACAGAATGCATAGCCTGTTTGAGTAAGAGTCAGTAGAGTTAGATACGAATTCAGGATTTTCCCCCGAGTCAAAGACCCCGCAGGCTAAATTAAAATAAAGGACTGAACTCACTATGCATTTTCATGAGCATTGTCACCGAGTGAAGGACGAAAAAAACGGTATGCGTCCATGGCCATTCCCGAATTAGGGTCCATTCAAGCACAGCAAATAGGAAAAAAGCTTGCCATATCTGCAAAAGTTATCAGTAAGGGTTCGTGTAAGAGCTATAGCAAATGATAGAGCGGACAAGGTGTCCGCTTAGCCGGAGTGAACAGTCTCGAGGGTGCAGTTGGCAATGCTTCTTGACCCCTTCAAAGTAAACAATCGGAGGAATGAGAACTTACACTCTGAATTATCCAACCCTCTCTATCCCAGGATAACCAACCTTTGCGAATAAGCTTCTGTAAGATAAGACTAAAGCCTGTAGAAGCACACATAACGCCATCACTCAGCCCAAGCATTATGACCTCTCGATGAAACATCAAACCCATAATTTCGTTCGAACCAAGTGGATTTCCAAATTTTTGGTAGTTTCTAGCAGCAATTTGGACCATATATATGGCAATTCCTAGCCAGAATAGGGTAAAAAACCCATGAAACGGCGAGTCAGCTGATTCAGCATTCTGCCGGTCGAATGCTGTAAAACGGCGCGTGAAGACTAGATCACTAAATTTACTTCTCCGTTTGGCCGCGGATGGGTTCCTCTCCTGTTGAATGTAAGTATTGCAGTTACTCTCAGATCTTAAATGAAGCCACCAACCCTTTCTATGCCAACCCGCAGAATCTCCCTTAGGGCATCATCATCTGCAGTCAAGATATACCTCCCTTTCTCCTTCAACTTGTTCAGGGTGATCGGAATGCTCTTTAGTCTTGTGGCTGCTGGACGAGATAAGGACGAAGACTTGATCTTTTCAAGCGCCTTATCAACATCTGGGTTGTCAACTCCCTTTCCATTTGCCTCTCCCGCAAACCCTCCTCCTTTGCCTCCTCTAACTACTGTATTCGGATCGGTTCTCAAAGCATCGTAGTCCTCCTCGCTTTGGGTTTCAGATCCCGCATACGAAGAGCCTCCTCTCCTGTTATCTGCTGCTACATCTAGAGCTTTCTTTAGGGAACGTGGAGCTTCGGAATTGCTGGGAAGAGTAAATGTTGAGTCGGGTTTGAGGCGAGCAGTTCCATCTTCGTCCATATGCCCTACCAACTGTGGCACCTGTTCAAACTTGTCCTCGGATGAGGACCGCGACGCAACATTTGGAGCTTCCGCAGACGCTGACAGTGCCATATCGAGGACTTCCAATGGCCTACCAGAGTCCCAACAAGGTGAAAGGTGGATTGTCGCAAAAGTGTTGGGATCGCTCTGCACTGACTATTCGAGACTTGTAACAGGTAGACAATTCGTTGATCGGGGTCTATTAGAGTAGTCGTCTTTCTAGCTGTCCCTTAAGGTTCAATCAGTATTGGATTTATAATTCTTCTAAGTACCGTAGTTCCCAGGATTGAATGCAAGAAGTAGCAAAAGGTTTGGTGTTTTGTGAGACGTACCTATGCTTACGCGAGGCGAGGGCGAGGCTGTAGAGAAGATCGGCGAGCACAGCACAGCGATCGCCAGCTCAGCTCAAGGTAGAAGAATGATTGATATGAAGCTTTTGGGAGGGCAGTGCTGAGGAATAGGAACAGGAATAGGATTCGAAGCGAAGAGAAGACAGGGTATTAATAAGAACAGGTATATGTATAGAGGAGAGGGTAGAAAAGACAGAGAGAGAGAGAGAGGGAGGGGGGGAAGGG